ACATTTCTTATGACCATTAAATCTCAATTTTAGTGGATATACCTATTCACAAAGAACCCTTAACACTAGAAATGAAATTTTTCTAATGTACTTTTGTTGACTTTCAAATTGACAAGTAATGTAATAAGTCAAATTGTACATTATTGACTTTCGATCAATCATTGAATGAACTTTGATGCTTAATCTAAAAATTTGTTTTCTCTAATTGTTTTGAAAATGTTATCCATGTATACTAGCTTAAGAATAAAAAAAAAATCTGTTATGACATTTTTAAATTTCACATATAATCTTTCATACGTATTTATTTAAAAGTAATTCTATAGACTTCCCCTAAAACAAAGTATACAAATTAATATCAAGGCAAATATTATATTAAATAAATATTTTTATATTTTTACAAAACAATAATACTTTTTTTTATCATAATAAATGTAGTTCTAAATTTTTTATATAGAAAATAATTAAAATAAATAAAAAACAAGAATATGAATAAGTTTATATAATAAATTTATTATAAATTGTTTGTCAGAAATAAAATAACACAATAATAAAATTTTTAAAAATATAAATATAAAAAAAGATTACATTAGAAACATAAAAATAATATTTATTTCAATAATTTTTTTTCTTACACGAGGGAAGAAGTATTTACTATTTGGCGAAGGTAAATTGTATGTTTAACTCGCGACTGGTTTGATTGATCAGAACTGACAAATGTTGTGCGCGTCGGTCTTTCTTATTTAGATTTCATAATCACTCGTGACTCGCATGTGTCACACGTGTAATCATCCTACTGCATACATCTACCACGTGTCATTTTATTTTAAATTTAAATATTATTTTTAATATATTAGTTTTTTTTTACACGTTACCAACACAAGTTTTCACAATTAATTAATTCAAAACTATTTATATAATTTCAAAGTAATTATTATAAAATCGAATAAATTTATTATGCATTAGTTAAAAAAAGGTACTCTGCATTTGACAAATAAAAAAGCTGTGGGAGATTATAAATGATTTGTATATAGTAATTAAAATATAGTAAATATATAAGAATTTGAGAAATTTGTTTCATACATAGTGAATATTGTTTTTGTTTTAATTATGTGTAGACAGTTAAATATTTTCATAATTATTAAAAATAAAAAATATTATACAGGTTTCTCCCATTATTATTGTTATAGCTAATAATTTGTAATTAAATAAAAACTTATACATATACTAATTAAATTCTAAAAATATTACTATAAAACATTTTTTTTAATTCATTTTAGCCACATGCTGATGCAACGCAGGTGGGTCCAGGCTCCAGAGTACTTTGTCGAATTCAGGTGTTTGACTCTGACCACACATATCTGTGTGCCCTTATTCCTAAAATAATGGATTTTTTTTAGTTACTAATATTTAGTATTACAAAGATAACATTTTTAATTTATTTAGATAAATTATGTGATCCTTTTTCTGAAATTCTGAGATGAGACCCCTTAAAGTTTAGGATGTGCATGACCCATCTTATTTCATTATTTAATTTAGTTTGTGGTCCATTAGAGATTAATAGTGATAAGTTCCAAATGTAGAAATTAAATTTATATAGAGTGAACACGTGTTTAAATTATACTTTAGACTGTCCTTGGTTTAATATTTTATATTATTTTAAAAGTATGAGTATTTTAAATATTTTTATAATAAATAATATTTTATATAAATTTCATTAAAAATGATGAATGAAGTTTTTCAACAGATATTTGATAATATATATACTTTGTATGTGTAACATTATAGTTCCTCTCTTTAGCACGATGTCCCACTGTCCCTAGCAAAGACTCTCATACGGATTTTATTTATAATTTTGTGAGAATAATAAAACAAAGATTAAAAAACAAGGGCATGTTAAAAATGCATTACTCGCACAACACAAAATTCAACAGCAAAAAATATTTTGTACTTATTAAATATATTTATAGGTCCTTGAAATCTGTGGCTCATATCATTATCATTATCAACGGGTCAAACATTACAACTTAAATAATAGAGAAGTAGAAGGTGACGTTGAAGAAATTAAATGTCACTATCCCATTATATTTCCTGTTTCAAGCACCTCATTTTTTTTCTCTTTATATCTTAATTCTTCAACATCTCAGTTCTCAGGTTTTATTATCCTACTTTTCCTTTAGTATGCTGTCTCACATTGTGGTTTCTACCCTTCATGGTTCAATCTGGGATGGTGGCTTATGTATCATGGAAATGGGTCTCAACTCTTCACAATATTAGAAATTTAGAATCATTAACGCTTCAATTTCTTGATAGGAAACAAGTGATAAATAGGTAAGGGAGGTGTAAAAACAAGTGTATGTATTTGATAGAGACATGACAGAAGAGAAAAATAAAAAGTAATGTAACCTACAAACTAATATAGCCTACAATACAATATTTAATTGACTGAATACGTACGTTATTTAATCGATTAAAGCCCATGACTAATATACACTTATCACATTCATTTACATGATTTCATCAAAAAAATAAAAAATAAGTTATTTTATTTAATTAATCAAGTTTAAAATAAATTATTTATTTAATTATCTTTTTAAGGAAAAATATGTTTTTAGTCATTCTAAAATTTTTAAAATTTGGATTTTGTCCTTCTAAAATTTTTTTGTTCTATTTTAATTTCTCTAATTTAACAATGCATCAGTTTTGGTCCATAATTCTGTTAGTCCTTTCAAATGGTTAGAAAACATTATTTAGACCATTTTGAAGTTCAAAAGTAATGTATTTTCAAATTATAAAAGAAACCAAAAATAGAACAAATATTTTTTAAGGGACCAAAATTCAGCTCAAGAAATTTTAGAATAACTAAAAATATATTTTAATTATTATTATTTTATTTCTCTTAAACTAAATACTTTTTCTTTCACTATAATAATTTCTCATCGATTTCTATTACTCTATTTTTCTCTTCTCAATTTCTATCTAGTATATTTTTCATCTATTTCTACCATTCCTACCGGTACTTGTAAAAATAGTATTATATAAAGTATTTTTTTACTTATATAAATTTTTATCAATGTCTTATAACAAATTTGATTACACATGAAGAGTGGAAAGATTCTAATCCAATGCTTGTTGACCATTATTTCTCAAATTTTTTTTGTGACACATTTCTTGGTTCTTTGCGAATATATTGTTTATTGTAGATCTCCCATATTCTTGATAAAATGAAATTCCTTTATCCATTGCAATTCAAGTTCAAACGAGACTTACGAAAGTAGCTTTGTGAAGCTAGTAATTGAAATTCTTTCCTCAAGGAAAAATATTTTACTGATTTTTTATCATTTAAAACAAATGATACATGTCATTCTTACACACACACACCAAATAGTTGGTTTTTCTCCGTCAAAAAGAAAGAAAAAAAAAGGAAGTTGATTTTTCATCATAATTTATTTAATTTGTTCAAAGTTTCATCATTTTAGTAGTACATTTTTTTTATTAATATTCTAAAACGTGTGAGATTATAAAAGTGAAATTTATCACCTCGCTTTGTTTTCTACCGTTCTTTCCACTATCACTTAATAGCAAGATATGAGATTTAAGTTTCACGTTGAAGTAAGATATCATGGGATGTTGATTTATGGATTAGCCTCTTAACACGCAATAACTAAGTAACTAACATTTCTATTGTGCTTAATTTCCCAGGCCATTTTTTTTTGAATATTTAATACTAATAGTAAAGATAGAATGCGACAGAATGCATTCAGATGAAGTATATAAAACAAATTTACCATTTTAATAGTAAAAGTCAGTCGATCGATCAGAAATTATTATTAATAAATTTTAGGATAATTATTTTAAAAATATCAATAACATTGTTTAATTTATTTGTTGCCCCCGGAACTTTTTAAATTAAGGGTTAGTGCCAAATAATAACGTGGAGTTGCAGTCTTTGCAAATTGCAACTAGTGGTGGATTGTTATTATTATTTTTTATTTTTTATTTTGATCCAATTACACAGAATCAAACTTGAGTCCTACACTCCCACATCGAGATTACGCGAGTATGACGTGGATTTTGCATGAGTTTTTGCTATCCCACTTCCATGGACTTGTGTGGTTATCCGAATTTTTTGTTTTTCTTTTGATCTGCAGAGAAAATTGTATATATTTTGATTTTGGACATTATTCTAGGCAATTTGAATATAGTGTTTGATTAAGAATTACTTAAGCTAAGTTAAGAATTAATCAACATTATAAAAACAAATTGTTATTGATACGTGTTAAGAGATAATGAACATAAATAACAGACGGAGAGAGTTTTTCTTCCAATAGAAATGACAAATATGGAAACTTCCATGAGCACGGAATTGATATTGCTTTTGCTTTAGTTCTATTTTTTTATTTTTTTGATGTATTAGTTACATGCTCTTTGCATCTGCCATCTGGTTTGTTGTGGTGTTTGGAATTTGCTTATAGGAAGGAAATTTCTGTAGAAAATGCCACTCCATACGGCTTTCACGAAAATGATATTTACGTCTTCTCAAGAAAAATGAAATATCTGGTGCAGTGGAATTATGTTAATTACTTTGATACAGGAACCTAAACTTTTTTTAGTACATTATCATTTCTCCTTTTGTGAGCTTAAACATCACTCTACCTAAACAGACTTGTCATTATAATATATATTTAAACTTTTGTCCTTCTTAATTAGTGTTTTTTGACACCTGCATGTTAATTCTTAAGAAAGAAAAAATGGGAAAAATATATTTAAAAAGTAAAATGAAGTGAGTGTAGTTAAGAGGAAGGAAGTAAATGTATGATGGTGTGGTTTGGTAAATGGAGTGAGGAGTGTGTTGTAAATGCATTGAGTGAGAAGGAGACAAAACATTTATATGGCCGGCAACTCGAAAGGCAACACAGTATGATGTTGTGTTGTGTGAACAAGAAACGGCGCGTGGACTCAATCTATCTTAGGACACATTAAAGAATAAGAAAGAAAGTGCACAAGGAAATACGACATTTGTCCTAACCATTCCAAAACTCTCAACCGCTTGGACTACCTGCCACCCTCACCTCTTTGTCTTTCCATTTCTATCTTCATCCTTTGAAAGGGAGAGACAATCATGCTCGAATGATTCTCGTTGGAGCCTCAGAGAGAAAAACAAACACATGGCTTCTGCTTCAAGAGTTGGGAGTAGCAGCTACGATTACTCCTTTAAGGTTTTGTTGATCGGTGATTCTGGCGTTGGCAAGAGTAGTCTTCTCCTCACCTTCATCAACAATTCTAACTCCATCCATCATCTCTCCCCCACCATTGGTACTTTCTTTCTTCATTCTTTACTTTCATCTTTATTTCTCATTTTTTTTTACCATGTTGTTGGTCCCAAAGAAAAGTTCTTTCTTTTCATCTATTGACCAATCATCTTTGGAGGGGTTCATCCAAAATCATTTTTTTTTTCTATCCTTAAGTCTTGATCTTGGTACCTTACTTGAGAAATTTAAACTCGGGTCAATTTGGAACAAGGACATGTTGGTTAGTTTCCTTCTCTTTCTTGCTTAGGAAAATGGAACAGGGTGGCATGGGATCACACGTATGTTTACTGGGTTTGGTTCTGGCCACGTTCTTGCAAAAGGCTCTCATATGTTGAAAAGTTTTTGTTTGACGTTTAAAGTGGACGACTGAAAGTGTCTAACGTTTCAGAGAGTCATGCATTCTTGTCGAAAGTACTTACCGAGTCACCTTTCTTTCGGTTTTCAGTTCTGTTATGGACTTTTTGGTCTTTTTTGTATTTTATTCCAACAGGTGGTTCCGTTTTCTTGTTTTACTTTTGGATACCCGCATCTTCTTCTTGGACCTTATGCCAACCTTGATTCTATGGATTTGGTTTGACTTGTGTCGGAGGAATACTATTTTAAACCCGTCTTGCGAACAACTTCTCTGGTTGTAGAAGAAGAATCTCTTGGATGGTCTACTTAGAATTGAAATTGGACATGGTCATTCATACCTTAAAGAGTGTTTGCAAACAACTTTTCTGACACCTTAGAGAGTGAATTTTTTTTTTTTAATTTTCATTTTTAATTAATGTTTTTTTACTAATAATTGCAGAAGTACCATATTGTTTTCATCAAGTTTTCAATATTCTGTTTTCATTACATTTTCAAGATTTAGAGAAGGAAATTTCCTTCCCAAAATCTTGAAAACAATGTAACATTTTTTAATTATCCGTGAAAAGATATCAATTGCAAAAGAAAACAGGAAAACTAAACTATTGCTTAACTTTTTTGATGTTCAATGTCATATTCGTTAAAATTTGCTAAATCACCCCATTCCTTTTATTTATTTATTTATTTTTATTTTTTTGAGGAATTTTATTATTTTCATTATCAATATCTTATTTTAAACTTTAACTAATTGATCCATTGCATTTGGCTAAATGGTGCATTCGTCTAGTGCGGTGATTTCTAGGCCATAGACCTTCTTTGTTCACTGTTTTTATTTATCTCATACATTATCTTATTTTGAGGCATTTGACATTATATTTTATACTTCCTATATGATTGAGTGATTCACAGCATAAGGAATTTGCATTTGTTACGTACTGAGCTATTGGTTCTTAAATCATTTAAGGTGTGGATTTCAAGATAAAACTTTTTACAGTTGGTGGCAAAAGATTGAAGCTTACTATTTGGGACACAGGTAACTGACTTCTAGTTATTTGATCGCATTTCCTTTTTCCTTTTTTGTTTTGCTGAAGAGTTTTGTTATACGTATATATGTAGTCAAGAATTTTCATTTTTCTACCTCAATTTTCTCTTTATCTGGAAAATTGTTGTAATGATAATAATGCTTTCTTGTCTATGTCATTTATAAACTAATATGTCTTGTAGAAGTGATGTTTTTTAGATCTCATTTTGTCCTTAGTTAGGACTTAGTACAGGACAGGGAGATGTCAGTACAACATTAGTTCTTTGCCAAATTAAATATTAAGAAAGATGAAGGTGAAAACATGAAAATAACTTAAAATATGAGGATAGAGCAAGTGGGGATGTTAGACAAAGATTGGTTATTCCTTCTACTTTCTGAAATATTTCATTACATTCTACTTTGATCAGCACACTCAGACAATGTTATAAGACAATGTTAGTGATGCAAAATTTTAATCTTTTAATGTGAATACATTTTAAAGTCTGAAATAAAGGCTAAGCATGAATGTGTAACATGAAAGTTACTGAAATTTCAGACTCGGTAATGATGAGTGGTTGAAAGTTACTACAAACCAAACATGTATAGGAGAATGTTACAGGAAGGGGATAAGGGGACCTTGATGGGTGAGAAGCACTTTGGCTTAGTTTCTACATTCCAGTCTAAGTCAGTTAGGATTAGATTGTAGTTTCTACTTTGGTTTAGATGAAAACTTGCAGTGGTGACTTATTGCCATTAGATTATAATCTTAATTTTATTTATTTTTTTGCAGCTGGACAAGAGAGGTTTGGAACAGTAATAAGTTCTTATTACAGAGGCGCACATGGAATCGTTCTTGGTATTCAATCTATCTATATATGAAAAATAAATTTATTTATTTTTATATATACTTAGATCTAAGAAATTTAAACATGTATTTTTATGGAGGTTATTTTTACAATCTATTGTATGCATTTGCACGTTAGATGACTTTTCTCTCCTTTTTTAACTCTATATGTAGTCCTTTATAATAGTATCAATGTTTAGATATTGTATAATTTGATATTCACACTTATTTACAGGTTATTATTGAATAAAACAGTAAAAAATTTGCCCAGAATATAAATTGGGGATAAAAATATTTTATAACTGAAGACGCCAATATGTTGAAATATTTGTACTTTGAAAATAATCGAAGATGAAAAGGATACAATGTTGTTATTTGAATCCCATTTCAACATACATCAGTAATCACTAGCCAGCTTTTGGGTTTAAATTCACAATTTTTTTATCCCTCCTGGATTCATTAAAGAAATAATTTATCCATATAAGTATTATTGTTGTGAAATTTGCATTGTCCATTATTGTGGTATGTCCTACAAGTTTGAAGTAAGCATGTACAAGCTCTTTCATTAACTATCACTTTTTTTTTTTCTGCTTTTGATCATTTGTCCTGTAAGCTATGCTGCACTACTCTTATTCTTATTGTAATGCTTGGATGTACTAATATACCCCGGAGGTTCTTTGCTATAAATGTGCATGATAAACCTTTTTCTGTTTCACTGCTTATTCATGTAATGCAGATTACTTATTTGAATACTTTATACTAGAAAGAGACAATATGTAGGCTGTTGCTTAAAGCACTGTGCATTGCCTCTAACCTAAACAAGTATTCAATTCACTCGTGTTTAAAAAAGAGGAATGGTATTATTTTTTTTGGTCTATGAACAAAGAGGAATTGTATATGTACATTATACAATTGTATAGTAATTTCAGTCAATCACCACTTAATCAACTCCAACCGATAAGACTCGGTCAATTACATTTGATTTTATGGTCAGCACTCAGCACTTCCTAAATTCATCAGACATTCTTTAATGCTTTTCTATACACTTTAAATGGTTGAGTTGTTCAAAAGAATGCTTGTACTTGCATAAATGTGGTGCTCACTCTGCTTTTCAGTTTGCCTTTAGTGTTGGCATGACATCTAATAGCTTTTTTCCTTCAATTTTCTGTTTAGTCTATGATGTGACACGACGTGAGACATTTACAAACCTCATCGATATATGGGCAAAAGAAGTTGAGCTTTATTCCACTAATCATGATAGCATCAAAATTCTTGTTGGCAATAAGGTGGATAAGGTAAACTTTGTAGTGAATGAGTTTTGCAGTGCGTTCCTTACTCGGGAAAAGACATTAACCATATATTATGCTACCTTTTTCTCAGACTAACTGATTTTTATGTAATAATTTGTTTTGGTTATAATAGAACTTCGATTTGTTCCTCAATATAATTTTCTTGCATTTCATTGTTTCGATTTTGAAGACTGTTAGTTGTATTACTTTTCAGGAGAGTGAAAGAGCCGTAAGCAAAGAAGAGGGTATGGCTCTTGCACAGGAGCATAGATGCTTGTTCCTAGAGTGTAGTGCTAAAACTAGAGAAAATGTTCAGCAATGCTTTAATGATCTCACATTAAAGGTATATATGATCTTAATACATCTCTGATGCACTAGTTGCTTTGATGTACTCTGTTTTAGCTATATTCCATCTGTGATATTTGTGCATATAATAATTTTTGGGTGTTGTTAGGTAAGTTAGTTACTTGCACAGAAGACAGAGAAATGTGTCTTTTCATAGCTATAATTTTAGTAGAAATAAAGTTCCTAATCGGTGTTATTTAACACAATATTTCTCTCCTTTTCCTTTCTGCATGTAGTTTAAAAATTTTAACAACCTATCACTTGCTAAATTCTTTGTTCTTTCATTTAACATTTGCAGATGTTAGATGTGGCAAGTTTAAGGGAAAAGGGATCTGTCGCAGTGAAAAGACAAAAGCAAAAACACATATATGAGACATCTCGAAGTGGTGGTTGCTGTTCTTAATAAATATGGTGCAACATGAACGTGCAATAGATTTTGCAATAGGGATACTATAGTTATTAGCAGGTCTTTGTATCATATCAAGTGTCACAATCAGATAGTTTGGAGGATCATATGCTCCAGTATTTTTTCCATAACTTCCACAAGAGGATGCTTGAGATGGATATTGCTCTCATTATCTTTTGGAGCCCCAGTATAGCAAATTTTATGGTAGCCAAGATGATCACAAAAGGTTTTCAATATGTTATGCTTTTTTCTTCTGTTATAGTTTTGAAAACACAACACCTATGGTATTGTACATCATGTGTAAATATATCCTCTATGAATGTATTAGGGTTGGTTTGAGATTTGGTTAGGTTAGGATATACAGCAAAATTACGTGTACTATTTTGGGTTTGGTCTTTTTCCACCCAGATAACCTTTGATGAGAAAATATTTTGTATTCATGTCATATATCTGCATTTCTTTTCAACCCTCAAAACCACTTTAAAATGATGTTTAAAGCTTGGTCTATTTTACGATTTCTTCATAATTGCGATCAAGCTTTCACTTCTCGTCGAGTAAAAATGATCATGGGATGGAAACAAAGCTCATCAAATACTCGTTGAATTGGGGGTAGTGACCAGCTATGAAGCACCGATACTTCAATTTGCTTCACGTATCCGTATCCGATACGTATCCGACACGATACTCTTGGATACTTCACCGATACGTGTCAATGAAGTATCCTAACTTTTGAAAATATTATGAAAATTTTATTCAATCTCGATATTCTCAAATACTTCACCGATGCTTATCGGTGATACGTATCATTAAAGTATTCAAATTTTTGAAAAATTATGAAATATCCATTACAACTAAATAAGATATATAAACATTTTTAATATAAAAACATAGAAATATTGGTCCTTGATAAACTGTAAATGAAAATTGTCTTCTACTTCTACATAGATAATTTTAAGAAAGGAATGAAATTGATAATATTATTTCTATTTGTAAAATAATAAAAAATAATTTATGATGAAATGGTTTATATTTATTTTTAGTAATGTACAATAAGTATGTTTTTAATTTGGATTTGCAAAATAGCAATTATATATTTAATGTTTATGAATGTTGATCAAAATTACAAGTACACAATTATTATGTTGTATGAATATTGATATATATGACGACACGTATCTTACAAGTATCGTATCCTATCTATCTTAAAATAAGCGTATCGCCGTATCAGATACGTGTCGTATCCGATACACGTATCGTATCTGTGCATCATAGGTGACCAGTGAGTGACAGAAAACAAAATCCAATTCCATTGAATGATATCGATCCTCAAATTGTTAATAATAAGAAATATGAATAACATCAAAATATTTAATATTATATTTTGTAATTAATAACTATAATATCAACTAATATTATTTTACATATTTTCAAGTTTTTATTCACTTTCAATTTTCAATATTTAATTTTATTGCTTTTATAAAATAGCATCATTTAAGTCGTTTGCATTATATTATTTTCATTTTTTTAAACCAAGTTATTATGTTACAGTCTTTTACACACTTAATTTTTTTGTGATATTTTTATGGAATAAATATGTTTCAAGTCTCCTCAAATTAATAAGCTATTGTCTAGTATTAGTTCTAAAAAAAAATAATCTCTTTTGATAGAATGATTAGCATTGAGGAAACTCAAGGAGAAATATAGACAGTAAAATCATCATAATACAATCCTGCAACACATGGATGGTTATGTGGGGTATAGGTAACTTGTAAGTAGGTAACCAATCTTTCTCATTTTCAGACATGAAAATACTTGTAAGTTTGTTTGCATACAACTTAAAAATGTTTTGAGAGTTTTTCTATTAAGAAATAATCTTTATTTTATTTTATTAAGTAGAAAAACATTAAAAAATACTTCTAAATTTGTATGTAAATAGAGTGTATATCTGAGTTGCATTTGATTTGATCTCATATATGAAGACATGTATTTCTGTAGCTTGAAGCCTCAGCATGCAGTCTCTCTCATTAGCTAGTGGTGGATACGTTGAGATAGATAGAGGTAGTTTGAAAACAAGTGATTTGGACAACATCTTCTGGTCTTAATCAATGACTTGGCCACATATTTGAGAATATGCGCTTCTACATGATTTATGACAAGTGGTTTGTTTGGTTAATTGTTTAAAAACCAAAAAAGTTAAGGTGCACAATGCATCTAATTTTGTGATTAACTGTCATGCCGTTGGATAAGACATAAACTAGGGAACAAAATGCATAGGTTGATGACAAGATGAGCACTTATATAAGTTATATTTCCTTACACGTTGGGCTGTTATATCATATACTTTTACTTCTTTTCGTGCACGTTGGGATGTTATGATAGTATCTTAATATTTAGTAATCTATTTCTTTTATTTTTTTCTCCTTTAGTTTGGACAGAGATGGACGTTTGAACCAGGATTTTCATTTCAACCTTAAAATTACAGCCACTTTTGTCTAATTTATCAATGAGATATATTAATTGAAAACAGATTATGACATGTATATATGACATGTATTTTCGTGTATATATGCATATATATATATATATATATATATATATACATATATATA